CTTTTGTCGTTTGCCTATTCCACATGTAACAGGACAAATTTCACGTACGTTGCCCAAGCAGACAACTTTATGGTACTAAATCAATGAAGTAAAATGTCTGCGGCCACTGAACAATATGATATATTTTTAGTGTGCCTTACAGAACCCATGAAGACCTGATAATCTCCAAATATATTTCTCACTAAAGCAACCACATTCAAATAGAATGAAAACTGTCTTAATAAATTTCGAAGTGAAAATAAGTTTAGAAGCACGAAAAAACAAGCAGATTCTCCACAATGGCAGCTCAGAGTATTTTGCCATTTTGTTATTTCTGTAGCATGAATAATACTTTATTTTCCTCCTTTAGGCTGCCAATTTTCCCAATAGATTACCTAAACCAGTTCATGGTCTTGGAATAGAGTGAAACTAGGGTGAGAGCTAAAAAGTTAAACTGCCGTACAAAAGCCTCTTATTCCCCTGGAAGTGCATATTTTAAAAAAAATCTTCTCTTTAGTCCAGTTTAAGGTGAGTTTTGCATTTCTTGAAATCAACAATTTTTCCCTATGTTAGTATTTAATATGTACACTGGAGAAAGTAATGAGGTATGAAATAGAATAAGGTAAGTTTTAAGTGCACACACAACATACTTGCGATCTAGATGAGACAGCAAGATGTCACAATTTGTGCTGGTTATATTTTATCACATTTCTTGGAGGCACTCAGTAATCCTATTTTACATTTTAGGAGTCATATTTTTGTCTGGTCAGTGCATTGAAATCTCTTAAGACAGTAGAATAAAGTGTTTCTGGTTGATTTGTCAAAATAAATGACACCTATGAAAATGTAAGTCACATAAAGAAAGCAGAAAATACATTTTTTCTTGCAGGCAGTACAAATAAAATGAGTTTGATAATCAGCACGCTCAGCCTTTCTTGTGCTTACAAAATAGCAAAAATGTGAAAAGTGACTTATTTAACAGTATGCAAGATTACAAAATCACAAATAGGAATAGAATTACTGCAGTGAAGGATAATCAGCTATTCTGTAAATAATTTTTTTTAACCTTTTTAAATAAAGTTTTAAGATAATGATATAGAACCTTAGACAAACACATAAATTATATGTATAGTAATAATATCACAGTTTAAAACATGGGGTTGTATTTAATGAGTATTTGAAATTAAATATATAATGACAACCATTTACATAAAAAGGCAATAAAATGTGATATTTTAATAAACAGCTGCAAAGAGCAGTCTTTCATTCGTTCATGCTTAAAATAACAATTTTTCTCCTCCAGACAAATTTACAAATTCTGCATTCTTTGTATCAAAGAATGCTATCAAAAATGTACAGTTAGATTAGCTGGATAATATGTGTGCAGACTGTGCTGCTTCCCACCGAACTAAAAGGAGATATGAACAAATAGATAAGCAAAAGATTTAGCCCCTGAAAAATAATGGAATCCCATTTAGTAATTAGAGGAATTTAAATATAATAAGTTTGAGCTTGGGTCATTGATGAGAAAAATGTCACAAGATATGATGTGAATGACAGGGAGCGTGCTGCTGGATAAAATATTTGTTTGAAGTTTATACGCCACACACCTCATTATGGAGCGTGGAACCAAATTTCATCTAAAGCAGCATGTGGTATGTTTAGTAAAGGAATTCTTTGGTTGCAAACTGGTAATAAAAACATAAACACATATTTAAAGAAAGAGAAAAAAATTATTTAGGGTAACTTAACCATATGTAGAGTGCATTAACTTTTCCTTACCAGCTTGGGTGATCCATGGGGTATCTGTGGTTCTCTAGCTTGGGGTCCACCTGGGTTCATGTTGTTATTGGGTGGAAACCAACAGATCTCAACTTTCCAAGACACCATGTGGGGTGCCCAGCCTTGTTAATGACCATTAGTGCTATTCCTTCCGCTGGGCATAAGCCCATGTCCAAGAGTGATTCCACAGATTAAACAGATTCCACACCAAGAATCTTAAAGAAATGTTTGTCTTAGCTGAAAAACATTCAATGAATTGTCAGCCATATAGTTTTATGATGGAACAATACTTAAACAAGTTACAATACAGAGGATTCTGAATTTAGGGTCATCTAGGGAAGATGCTGGATAGACTGTGCTGCAGAGAAGACCTGTAAATAGTTCCAGGAAGTTGTCCTCAGTTTATCAGTTTCCTTTAACATCCTGTAGACCCCTAACCCAATCCCAGTTAAATTGCCCTAAAAGCCTGTGTGAAGATATGTGATGCCTGGCTGTGCAGGACTATAGGGGGACCCAAATCTTTTAGGGACTCCTAAGGGGGTAGTGCTACACATCTTTGCATATTTCTCATTCTGGTCTACTATCAGGTTGCCTGCCTTGAAGGGAGCCATGGAAATTAACCCATGAATTTTAGGACCTTTCTATTTATTTAGGAGGCCATGGGACTCTGGTAAGCCTCTGCAACCTCAATTGGTAATAGAACAGTGGTGGCTGAGTTATACTATGTGAAGCATATCCCCCATTTTTTGTTTTATTTGAGTGTAAAAGGCATGGATGTTTACTATCAGAAATGTCCAGCGAAATGGCCATTGGAGTTCCTTTTTGTGATCTTTGGGGCAGTGATTGAACAGTTTTGAGTATTCCTGAGTATGGTTTCACTGGTGGAGGATGCGTTAATGTATCTTGTTATTATTTTGGTATCAGTAAGTGGACTTTAAATTACAAGTGGAAGTTTTGTCTAAAAATTCTCTGAGTTCATATATATATATATATATATATATATATATATATATCCACTGGACACAAATTACCAAAAAATTTAAAAGTGTTTTATATTTAAAGTACCATGCAGATGAAATGTTGGGAGTCAAAGATTGTGTGCCCTTTCCAAGGGCAAAATATCAAGTCAGTGTAACTCAGCAGCACACAATAATGCAAATATAAGGCTAGATTTAGATGGCTTGATACTTTGTTACATCATCAAGACAAACACACTGACATTGCAAGAGTAAATTGAATATTTTGTCTAAGCATGAAATGCAATATAAATTAAAGGAGAAAAAAAATTACTAGTGACTATTATTATGTTCCTTATTCAAACAGAAAAATGCAGGGTAAACATAGGAGATCTGGTACGACAGCTGCTGACTAGGATATGATTTAAAAGTGGTAGTGAAACAAAAAGAGTCAAAGATGGATTACATGCAAATTACAGGTAAATATGACCATATTCATAATACCACTAATGACTTGCCATTCAGAATACAACATTTGGAGAACAAAATCCATTTGGGACATTTACAGTTGATACAGGAGTGCTGCCAATAACTGAAACTAATACAGTAAAAGCAAAAACAAATCTGCTTGAATTTTGAAACATTGCTAGAATGATTTATAGCATAATGTAGTGTGGCTTTTTGCATACAAAGAAAAAGTGCTTTTCTTGTGGCTTCTTTTCTATTCACCATGTGTAACATTTTAAGGAGAAGAATAGTTAGTGTATTGACTGTATTTTTATAAAAGCTCACTTTACAGCATTTATAAGTATATGCAATTGTGTTCTTCCATTAAAGAAGCTAAAATATTTAACTGTTAGTTGTTATTTCTAATTTAAAAACAGCAAGCAAATGTTTATCTCTTTCACATGTATGCTTCATACTTTTACTATTTCATTTAACATTCAATTTCTGGTTAGTAAAAAAGGAGATGGAGAATAGGCATTCAAAGCTATATTTCAAAAAAGTTTTTCCATAATTTTTTGTGCTCCCCCCCTCCTCTTGAAGCACTTCCACCTCCCGTGAGATTGAGCTCTGCAGTCCCTTTTGCAGCAGGTGTATTCTTTTTCCTGGGTCACAATCCTGAGCAATGTCCTTTTGTCTCTTTCAGTCAGTTGACCATGTCGATTGTGCTAATTTTTCCCATGGAACTGTATATGCCATCATAACCTTTGATACTGTACCTCAAGACACAGCCAATAAATTTTCAACTTCAGTCACAGAGGTACCAGCTAAGCAGGCACAACAATATGCCCTTTTTTGAAGCTCAGTTAGCTCTGACGTGACTCTGTATTACCAGTAGCGCACCCAGTGAATGATGAAAGTGGGGCTACCTACCCGTTAGCTAGATCTCATCATACAGCAGAAGCAAGAGAGTATTAAATCACTTCCATTTTCAACAGGAAACATTTGGTCACTTTCACACCTGCAACTCATGAAGTGTTTCCATTTTTTTGTCTAACCCCTGTACATGCAAATATTTTGTTGTAAATGCCTATAGAATCAAGCAAATCTAAAATTATCCCATTTACACCAAGCTTCAAGGAACAGGCCATCTTTTAAGGAGAAGGTTTCAGTTTGCCCTATTTAACCATTTCAAGTCCGGATACTTTCACACCCTTCCTGCCCAGGACAATTTTCAGCTTTCAGTGCTATCACACTTTGAATGACAATTGTGCGGTCATGCAACACTGTACCCATATGAATTTTTTTGAGACAGATAAAACTTTATTTTGGTGGTATTTATTCACCACTGGGATTTTTATTTTTTTGCCATATAAATGAAAAAGTCCAAAAATTAAAAAAAAAAGAAAAAGAAATAATCTTTCTTCATAAATCTTGGCCAAAATGTATTGGGCTATCTTTTTAGTAAAAAAAATAACCCAAATTAGTTTATAACAAAAATTATAATTTAAAAAAAAAATTTTTTACATTTTTATTTTTTTTATATTATTATTTATGCTTTTTTTTAACATACTGTCACCCTGACAGTACAGTGTCACCATAGTAACACTATACTACTTGTGGGGGGTGATGAAGATTTTTTTTTTATACTGATTGCTTTTACACCCATAAAGGTTGTAAAAGTAATCATTTCTATTTCTCTCTGGCTGCATTCTTGCAGCCATTGAGAAATACTGTGAGGGCGGGGCTTGGTCACAGCTTGTCACATGGTACAAGGCTTTTGTGAATAGCCTTCTACCATGTGACCTCTGTGATCATTCACAGATTTCACAAGTAGTAAGCAATGATTTTAGGAAGTGACATCTTGTTTACCACTGCTCATGTGATCACCGATTGGCCAATCAGTGATCACATGATCGGGACCTCACACAGAGGTCCCGTACAGCTATCGGTGCCGTGTGCTCCCTGGGGGTGCGCACAGGCAGTGAATGCGGATGACGTTCAGAAACATCAACCCGCTTTGTCAGTGCTCCCTCTGGCTGTTTATAGACATGGGCCGGACAGGAAGTGGTTAAGGTCTCTGCCATTCTTCTAGACATGTTGGACAAGACATGATGTGACCCTTTGCCAGGTATGAATTTTTTCACATGTACTCACATATGCTACCTTGCCTTTTTTAATTTTTAACAAGATATTGTCATATTACGGCTGGGTGGGACACTCATCGTTCCAGGTGTTCTGGAATGCATTTTGCGTGTACCCCATGGGCTGTGCTGCAGCATGATCTGTCACCCACTATGTACACCGGACACAGTGGCTGACCAATCAGCTTACCGTTCCCCTGTCGGTACCATATGATCACTGTGACCAATCACAGCAGATCACATGAAAATTGTACACAATGGATGGTGTTCATTCATGCCATCCATTGTGTACTGTTGTGTTGATCTCTGTGATTGGTCACAGTGGACACATAGTACAGACAGGGCCAATGACAGCTCATATGTACCATGTGATTAGCTGTGGCCAATCACAGCTAGCACCAACAGTAAATACTGAATGAATTGATTTCATTCAGTAAAAAAGATTGTTTATAACAGTGAAATTCACTTAATATATTCACTTTGTATAAGCAATCATAGTGTGTAAAAGAAAAAAAAGTCTGGTCACTTCCCCAAAGTAGTACAGTGTTAATATGGTAACACTGCATTGCTCTGGTCACAGTATGTTTAAAATAAAATCATAAAAAAAAAAACATTGTAATAAAAAAGGAAGAAAAAATAAAAAAAAACAAACTTTTTTTTTTTTGCATAGTGTTACCAGTCAGTGTCCCTGGTCACCACCATACCAGTTATATGTTGATGCTGTACTGCACTGTTGACAGTATGTAAAAAAAAAAAAAAACAAATTGACAAAAAAACTATTTTTAAAAAATGTCTTCATTTTCCAAAAAATTGTGACAAAATTAAAATTTAAAAAAACTCACCATGCCTCTTGCTAAATACCTTGGACTGTCTACTTTACAAAAAGGGGTCATTTGGGGGATATTTGTGCTGCCCTGGCATTTTCAGGCCTCAAGAAATGAGATAGGCGATTAGTACATCATGGTTTATCAATTTTCAGAGTATCAATATATCCCATAGTTTTTGGACTCTATAACTTTCCTACGGACTAAATAATATACACTGATTTGGGTTATTTTCACCAATGGAAAGTATCAGAATACATTCTGGCCTAAATTTATGAAGAAAGATTATTTATTTGCAAAATTTTATAACTGAAACTAAAAAAGTGGGTTTTTTTTTTAATTTTTGGTCTTTTTAATTTATTTAGCAAAAAAAAAACACCAAAAGAAAGCTCTGTGTATAAAAAAAAAAAGATAAAAAATGAAAGCGTTAGTAAAACAAAATACATTTTCTCCTGCAAGGTAAAGGTATTGCATACTAGAACCTTATGAAATACTTACCCTAAAATGAAGCCCTCCAGCGGCACGCTGTCACCACTGCAGAGGCTTCTATCTTTACCCTGTCTTCCTTTTGGGGTTCCCGGGCTGTGGTCACTTGAAAGGCGAAAGCCGCAATGACGCCACTCCCAAGCATGCGCACCGGAGCTATGACCATGGCACAGAGTTCAGAAGGAATGGCACGAGAATGTCACTGGCTGCCACTCACTAGAATATCTCCTAAATGGTGCATGTTTGTGAGATATTCATTTTACCTTAAACACACATAGCATAGTCCCACTTCACAAATTTATTACATAGTTCATTCCCATTAAAAACTCACTCACAAACATAAAAAGGATGATCACGTATTACAATCTTGATTCATAAGACGTCATACCTCTGCCATCACAATAATGCATGCAGTATCTCACCACCCTGTCGACCCACGGACTGATGCTACCTCCTTCAGGTCCTTTAGCCACAACCCTAATGTTTCATCCTTACAACTTCTTCTGAGGGGATGGTTAAACAGCACGACAATCCCTTATTTTAAGATTTTGCAGCACTGTCTGATATTTGAAAAAGCAATGCAAACATATTCTTGAGAAGTGTCCAAAGGTTCAGTCAAATAAGAGAAAAGATCAAAGGTGTAGTTAATTTTACAAGGCACTGTTTGGTGTATCCTATAAAAGCTTTACAAAAACATTACATTTCCCATGATTATTTATTGTATTATTACATTTTTACTTTGGCTTTACTGATCATCCTAACCCAGTAATTGACCTTTGTAATACTTGTTACCTTGAGAGAAAACTGTTTTATGTTGAAATACATTTTCCATTAAAGAACATGTTTGTTCAGAAGTTAAAAATAATTCATGTAAATCCTAGCCAGAATGCTTTTCTTTTAGAGAAGAGCGATTATTGAAAACTATACTTCACCAGCTGTGTGCTGTTTCCAGTTTTTCTTTTATTTTACAGTTATTACATATTTTAAAGTGTTTCTATCCTCAGAGATAACAGGTCAGTCCACTAGGAATACAGGATGTAATCCCTTTGCAACAGGACTAAAAGCTTGTGAGAACCTGATATGTTAGTACCAGCCCATACTGGCTATCAGGACCAAAAAAGAAGACCAATGCTTGAAACACAAGACTAGTTCTGATGGACTCTTTAGCACTTCAATGCCCTCAAAAGGTAGTTGGTAAAAAGCTGAGGGGATTTAAATAAAAGTTTTAAATATTCACTCCAACTAAACACAGGATTAAAATTGACTTTAACATTAAAGTAAAAAAACAGCATAGGCTATGAATTCTTAGTGTTAAACTGTGCATGTGTGCTCACACCAGGACACAGGGTCTTAGAGTGCATTGTCTTCATACTTTATCCTATACCTGAAGTAACAGTAATGCTAATGGACAGAATACCCAATCAGAGTGCAGATGTGTAACTGAGTGCAAGCCAGATACTGAGGTAGGTGGCAGACCACTAATAAGTAAAGTGAAACACATTGATTTTTTTCATTACAATGGCATCTAAAAGTGAGTGGGATATATTATGCAGCACATGAACATGTTTTCCCTGAAGTTGATGTGTTGAAAGTAGAAAAATTGGCAAGCTTAAGGATTTCAGTAACTTTGAAAGCTGCCAAATTGTGATGATCAGACAACTGGGTCAGAGGAACTCCAAAACTAGAGCTCTTGTGGGATGTTCTTGGTCTGCAGGGCCAGATTTTACCAAACGTTGCCCAAGGAAGGAAGACTGGTGAACAGGCGACAGGGTCATGTGCAGCCAGGGCTCATACATGAACATGGGGAGTGAAGACTGACCCATGTAGTCTGATCCAATAGAAGGACTAATGTAGCTAAAGATTGATGAAAAAGTTCATGCTGGTTCCAATAGAAAGGTGTCAGATCACACAGTTCATTGCAGTTTGTTATGTATAAAGTTGTGTAGCCATAGATTGATCAGGGTGCGTGTATAGGGACAATAGCGAAGAAACTGCTATGGATGAAACAGAAGTTTTATCAATACACTAATAAACCTCATAGGATGTTGGTTAATACACTGAAAGCACACTCGACTACTTCCGCTCCTGAATTTTTGTTTCAAGCGGATGGCACCCTTACTTTTTGCCCCCAACAGATAGACCAAGTGTTCTACAGTTGTGGCCAAAATTATTCAACCCCCACTGAAATTGAGTGTTTTGGCCAGTTTGACATTGCTTTTGATCATTCAGTCATCTTGCTTACATTTACATTAAAGAGGCACTTGTAGGTCAGACAAATATAACATAACAGTTATAATGAAATAACCACAAATGTCTTTTCTGTGCTCACAGCATTATCAGTTTTATTCAACCCCCAAGTGACATTCAATCTTAGTACTTAGTACAGCATCCTTTTACAGTTATAACAGCTTTTAAACGTGAAGCATAGCTTGACACAAGTGTCTTGCAGCGATCTACGGGTATCTTCGCCCATTCTTCATGGGCAAAGGCCTCCAGTTCAGTCACATTCTTAGGCTTGCGCACTGCAACTGCTTTCTTTAAGTCCCACCAGAGGTTCTCAATCGGATTTAAGTCTGGTGACTGCGATGGCCACTCCAAAATGTTCCAGCCTTTCCTCTGCAACCATGCTCTAGTGGACTTGGAGGTATGCTTGGGATCATTGTCCTGTTGAAAGGTCCAACGTCTCCCAAGCCTCAGGTGTGTGACGGACTGCATCACGTTTCCATCCAATATCTCCTGGTACTGAAGAGAATTCATGGTACCTTGCACACGCTGAAGCTTCCCTGTACCTGCAGAAGCAAAACAGCCCCAAAGCATGATTGACCCTCCACCATGCTTCACAGTAGGCAAGGTGTTCTTTTCATCATAGGCCTTGTTCTTCCTCCTCCAAACATAGCGTTGATCCATGGGCCCAAACAGTTCTAATTTTGTTTCATCAGTCCACAGAACACTATCCCACAACTTTTGTGGTTTGTCCACATGGCTTTTGGCATACTGCAGTCGATCTTCTTATTCTTTGGAGACAGCAAGGGGGTACGCCTGGGAGTTCTGGCACGGAGGCCTTCATTACGCAGTGTGCGTCTTATTGTCTGGGCTGAAACTTCTGTACCCACATCTGACAAATCTTTTCTCAGTTCCTCAGCAGTCACACGGGGACTTCTCTCCACTCTACGCTTCAGGTAGCGCACAGCAGTCGAAGTCAGCATCTTCTTTCTGCCACGACCAGGTAGCGTTTCAAACAGTGCCCTTTGCCTTGAATTTGCGAATGATGCTTCCTAAGGTGTCTCTTGGTATGTTTAACATCTTTGCAATCTTCTTATAGCCATTGCCCTTCCTGTGAAGAGAAATCACCTCTTCTCTTGTCTTCCTGGACCATTCTCTTGCCTTCACCATGTTGTAACCACACCAGTAAATGTCTAGAAGGAGCTGAGTATCACAGTCATTTTAAAGCTGCCTAATTGGTGCTTATTATGCTTGATTGCTGCTCGGTGACATCCACAGGTGTTTTCAATACCTGATGGAAAGCACCTGTAATGAACCTCTGTTCTTCAGAGTGGTAGTCTTTAAGGGGTTGAATAATTGTGGCAATGAAGAAACCACATAAGAACCATTTACTACTGTATTACATAAACAATTGATGTCATTTTAGTTGCATTTGGGTAGTTACAACGTCCTTGTAGGATTTGATTCTGAATACAATTCCAAATGTACACTATAGTCCCTAAACCCCTTTACAGCATTGGGGGTTGAATAATTTTGGCCACAACTGTATCTATCCAAGACTTCTATCGTAAGCTTTACAACTGTTTATCACCAGACATACACACCCACCTTCCATAGAGACTCCTTCGATGCTTTTTTTTCAGCCCTTCATCTCCCTAAATTGAAAAGGGAAGACAGATTAATTTTGAACGCACTTATTACTATGGAGGAACTGTGTGCAGTTGTTAAGGAACTACCGTCGCACAAAGCGCTGGGCCCAGCCAGGTTTTCCTACACATATTACAAGGAATTCATCACAGATATAGGCCCTGCCCTATTGGAATTTTACTGCTGAGCAGAGAAGAACCACATTTTCAATTTCAACATTCTCATATCACAGTCACTCCCAAACCAGGCAAAAACTTAACGACCCCAGCTAACTAC